CTGAGTGTAGGCACTAAATATTAATCGGTGGTGTATATTCACTTGACACCTGTAATGAATTTAGCGGTGAGCAGACACCTAGCAACCCAGTTGTCCATTGGTGCAATGCAAAATTGATTTGGTCTTCTGACAGATTTCAAATGAGCAACATTTATCTTCACAGCCCAAATCTGACCCCTGACTCATAATGTCTGCAGGAAACTTTAGATGAAACAATCTGTAATGAGATCGACATTTCTAGAAATTTAGGCTGGAAAAAAACCTGCCCCATGTAAAAAGAAATATTTCTATAAAAAAGCACAAAAGCAAACATCAAAAGCCAATTTCTTATCCTGTCATTCTAATTTTTTATTCTGAGATTTCATTTTCCTTCAACTCAAAGCCATTATTGGAAAAACGTCTCAGAGATGGAGGAATAAAGCACAGCAGAAGCTTGTCGCACAAAAAATAAATGGTATCCCAGCTGTCAGTCTGAGCTTTTCAGTCGTGTATCTCCAGCTTTAGAGGAGCTATTCAACAAAAAAGAAGCTGCTGTTGAGCACAGAGAGCGAGCTTCTAATATCAAACACAAGTCAAACCAAGTGTTGCACTCAGTGTGTTTCTGCACATGCCAGACTTTTACAAACAAAGCTCGATCAATGGCAGTGAAACATGCCTGCTTTAATCTTTTCCTCTTAAGCTGATACTGCGGCTTACCTTTCACTGGATGAGTGTCCAGGGTAACTGTACAGGTTTGTTCTGGTTTTAAGATGCATTTAAAATTTTGGTGGTGACAGGCTGCCAGGTCACCTTCATGATCTGATTTAAAGTTACCCCTTTGCTCAGCACAGCTTGTCTCACAAACTACAAAAGTGACAGGGGGCGTCACGCCGCACACTGCTGCTTCCTGTGAGACCAGCCTTCCTCAGCGTGACAGACAACAGGGGCAGATGGAGTCTAACTTAAACCTCCAAATGAACTTGGGAGCCCTCCAAAATAAAACCCCCGCCAAAAAAAACATTTTTGTTAGCAGAAACACAGAAAGCTGTCTTTTATGTCTAATTAAACTTAAAATTATTGATATGAAAAGCTGAACATTAAATTCTCAGAGGAAGACCTATTTTTAAGACAGGATAAGCAGAGATCAAAGACAGATGGTTTTGCACACCAAAAATCATTCAAGCTTCTTTTTAAACTTCTCTGTTTACACACTGTTAGCAATTTCCTCCAAACCGAGATTAACTGGACTCGATAAATCAAGTGCTGAGCAGTTACAAAATACAAACGAGGGAATGGTGAAACAGCAGTGGGAAACTCTATCACCATAATAAGTAAGCAAAGGCAGATGGCAGTGAAAAAGCTCACTGACTTCAAAATAAGACTTATTTTGCACTGGTCCCCTGGTAACAACAGATTGCCCTTTCATTCTTTGGTGGCCTCTCTAAGGTAATATTGAAAATCATCTTTGTGAGGAATTTTTCTGAACGGTCGGGGAACGACTGAATGACTTTTTACATAATTAACTCTGAATCACGCTGAATTATTGCTGCATGCATAACTACAAAATGCAGATGTTCAATATCTTT